AGTGAATAATTAGTCCTCGTTACCTCCCTTGTTAGACTTAATGTTTGAAGACTTTGACAAGTGATGTGAAAATTCTAGTAGCTAGTAGGGAGATTTAGATTCAAGAAATGTTATTTTGCAAATATCATTTAAAACTGTTATGGGTAAATGAAAAATAAACATTTTATTACACTATAAAGTTGGTCTAAATGTGCTTTTTCTCTATCCGAGTTATTTCCCTTGTTGGAGCTCTTTGGCATTGAAGAATACAAAATGTGTAAATTGTAAACAAGATGGCAGACAATGAAATCTGCAGTTTTTCTTCTTGTTTTGAAACATCTTGTTCAGGAAAATTCTACCTCAAGAGATTCAGAATTTGTTGAAAACAGTTGACAAAGTTGGAATAATCTTTAAGAAAAGCCAAAGGGTTGATCTGGACATGATGATTATTACACGTATAGCTACTCGTAGAAAAGAAAATATGAGGAAATCAGGGTGGTATGGGGGCGAAGGCCGAGACTGGCGAGAGGATTTTAGCTGTTCCCTTCAAGATGTCTTTGAAATAAAGATCGAGAGATAAATGTAGTGGTGTGGTAGTCCCCGACCGATCCCGATTGCAATGTGTAAGTATTTTTTTTATTCATAATTCTATTCAGGTGTCACATGTACCTGCATGGTAACTGATAATCCAAGATTCCTCTGACTCTAATCCCCGCTTTTATATTCCCCCGCACAAGTCACAATATAAAAGCGGGGGGTTAGAGTCAGAGGAATCTCGGATTAGGTAACTGACTGTATAATGAAATATAAGACAATAAATACAAACAAAACCATGAAAACTTGGATGCACAGTTGCACATATTACCTGTACATGACATTGACTCAAATACTACTGTGCAATATATGTGCCCGTTTTGGGTACAGGTATTTTATTTTCTATAAAATTCAGTATATTTTAAGAAAATTGTTTGTATGAATTTATTTTTCCAAATGATAATATGCTTGTGTCCAATCTATTTTTACAAACAGGATTTGTAGAAATCATACCTCGGAAATATTAAACCTTTGACTTCTGACAATGATAACTGAATAGTGTGTTAGATTTTTTGAAATTTTAAGCAATATCAGGACTGTAGAATATTTTAAAGAATTGATTAAAAAAGTGTAAGTGTAAAATTATGAAAGTACAAGCAGACACACAGATTTACAGATGCTAATAGTGTTCTAGATCTAAGTACATATACTTTGTCATACTATTGTGAAATCATTTTTGGACCTAATGATGATAGTTATTTGCTCTGCAAGGTGATGTATTGTTTTAAGTAGGTAAAGAAATCTATCCAAGGGTGTTAGAATATGGCAACTCCATTTGTACTTTCCAAGATGCTGCTTTCTGTCTCATAATTTTAATTTTACTGATCACTGTTTTTCAGCTATATATTGCAGTTATATCAATCTTGCACACATTTTAAATATGAATAGTTTTAGTTTGACAATATTGATTTGTACAAATGAGATCATTCTGATGCTGTGTACTTCACATATCAAGGACATATTGTACAAATTAAAAATAGTCGCATTAAAGAACAAAATAAATTATACCACATTATGTTAGTATCCATAAAACATGTATGCTTTTATTACAGTTAATTTATGATATAAATACATTTCATTTTCCACTTTAGAAATTAATTGTTGTCAAATTCATTTCTACTCTTAGTCTCTATATCTCTGGCGATTTGTCCAAACTGCAGAAAAGCTTTATATGTAAATTGAAAAAAAAAATGCTTGATGACAACATTAAATCCACTCCTTTATCAATCATACCTCTTGATTCAGAAAATTTTCAGGATAACATGTAAATATTAGGTACATGTAATATATATATGATGTTCCGGATTTTAACCCAAACTTTCAAATTCAAAAATAATTTTAAATTGATCATTGCAGCCCTTGCAAGATTTTCCTAATGAAGATTCTCAGGATTACAGATCCTCTAGCAAGGGGACCACACAGGTACATGTATTGTGTATTAAGTTGCATGTTCATGGTGAGTTAAGACATGATTGCCACAACAATGCATAAAGGGAGATAATAATGTTTATAGGTTGAAAATGTGTATGTTTTATATATAGCAAAATTTTAAGATTCCAGTTTTAAGTTTTTGAAACAATTTTTAAATGAATTTTTATCCAAAGTGACCAAAAATTAATGTTATTTTTTTATTTTCATGTGAACAGATAGAAATGACCACAGCACAGGACATACAGCCCCCCCCCCCCAAAAAAAAAAAAATCACAGTGGACTGGAAGTAAATTTTACATGAAAAATACACAGTAGGAAAAATAACAGAAAGAAAAGAGGATCCAGTAAAAGTTGTCACTGGTACAAGATGGACATAGAGAGGGTTTTCTATTGATCATTACTAAAACCCACAGCAAATTAATATTGCAAGGCTGAGCTACTTTTCAAACTTACGCAAAAGGACATAAAGAAATGTGAATTCGAGGAAACCAAGCTGACATCAAATGAGAGAATATGATGGAACAAATTTTAGCAATTTTTTTTTTTTAGGCAGGGCATCTGTTTTCCTTAGAGAATATGTGTTTTCTAAATTGATTTCTTGTATTTTCAAAAAATGTCACTGTTTAAGTGAAGCATACATTCCAATTAATGTCTTGTTTATTTTTTTTTCTATAAAAGCAGTTTTATGCAAAGAAGCAGTTTCTTCCCTTTTTATATCCCCACTTTGCAGGAGAGGTGGTATACTGATTTATTATATACCCCCACATGGGCTCACAAATTTCGAGTTTTATATTGGCAGGCTTCACACAGTATGTCATGTATGATTAGAATATATATGAATACGTTAAATTTTAACAAAACTGAGAACAAGATTAATTGTGAAACACTGATTCCCCCATACATTGCAGCTTATGTCAAGACTCCCATGAGGTATCCCAAGAAAGGTCTTGCCACAAGTAAAACACCTGTGAAATATGAAAATCTAGTCCAACTTCAAAAGTTGTGGTTAAGGTTAAAGTTTTTTTAAGTCGGTCAATGTCTAAGGTCAAGGTCAAATGGTTAAAAATATTTATACCCATTAAAAGAACATAGTATACATGTAACTGATCATCTGAATATGCTGATAAGCAATGTGGTAATAAAAATTCCACAATATTTAGCATATAAGAGCAGGCCATTTAAACAAATTTGGCTGCCTTCCCCCAACAGATTAACTAAAATTCATAACTTTATTTTACATTGCAAGACAGGATGTTTTTTTATCCATATTATCTCGTCAACAAATATTATGAAATTTTCTGGGAAAAAGATTTTACAACCTACCTACCGAGGCGACTTAATAATTTTACCCTGAGTCCGGAGAGGGCAAACAAACATTATAATCAAGATGGTCTTGCCAACTTGTTTTGACATTATATTGTCTGACCTACTTTCATATTTTCATAAAATACTTTCATATCATTTATTAAATATGAGTTTGCCTTTTTACTTTAATTATATATTTTAAAAAATTAACCATAAAACAATTGTTTTGAATTTGAACATATTTTAGTTAATAAATCAAAAGGATTGGACACAATTACGGGCCATTAAAAGATTTGTAAGAATTTTTGGAAACTCACTTGTTTTATTTCATATTTAGATTAAAATAACTAGAAGCCTGATTTGTTTCCATGGCAACATTTTAATTTACCTGTCACTGAGTTAATTTCAGAAGTTCTATTTAATTATTGAAAAGAAATTTAAATACTTGACATATATTCACACTACATAACAATTTGTTCAGTTTGGTAAAACATGTTCTTAGATGATCTTCATTGCTATTTGTGATTAATGGATGGGGGGGGGGGGTCATTCATGCAATAACTTCATGAAAGCTGTACATTTTCCCATTAATTTATTAATTTTTTTTATTCTCACAAAACATTAGAATATAAAGTTTATTTAATGATACATGGTTACAAATATATCAGTTGTCAAAATGGTGAAAAATTTCATTGAATATGACTAAAAAAGTCAATTTTGGCAAATTGCCAATTTTCAAGCAATAATTTCTAGAAAGTTTTTGATTTACCCATTAATTTTTTTTTATTCTCATTAAACCTTAGAATATATAGTTTTTTTAATGATACATGGTGACAAATATATCAGTTGTCAAAATGGTGAAAAATTTCACTGAATATGACTAAAAAGACAAATTTGGCAAGTTGCCAATTTGCTAACAGCCTTAATGCTGCAATGAAAATTCGCTTAATCTTCATTCAAATATATTTGAATGAAATTAATTTCTCAGATTTAAGTAATATGAGCTCACATAATATAATTTTCATGTGAATTTTTACTAATTAATTGAATGTGCACAAATTTAATTTAAAACAGAGCAAAATTTGCTTAATCAGAGGGGTCTAAATATAACATCCCTGTTACCATGGCAACCAAATTGAAAAGTTAGACTTTAACATCATATTTATTAAAGACATACCAATTGTAGTAAATGGTGTGAATTTCAGCTAAATCGGAGATATGTCATGTCCACGACCCTATTCAAAATTTTGATTTTTATAGAGAATTGATATTAAATTATCTAAGTGAAAAACAGTGGTACCAGTTTACATAATTGTAAGGATATAAATTTCAAGTTGAAAATATAAGTGTTGTTTTAGTCTTTAAAGCCCTATTCACGTCGAAAAAAGGTTTATTGTACATCCATGATTAAAAAAATATCCATATTGTTTATCATTTTATATTTTTCGTCGTTATTAAGTCAGAAATATTCAAAAACAAGTGGCACCGTGACAGAAATATGTAGACAAAATATCACCTGGCTCTGTAATTTGGTAGTGCTACATGTATGACCTCTGACCCCAATATAAAATTCACACAAAATGAAACATTTTCTATTTGATAGGTTCATCTAAGAAAGAAATTTGCCAATGTAAATATATTGTCTTGTGAATTAAATACTTATGCAATTAAAATTATCTTTACTTCTTCAGGTGACATGATGCTGAACACTGGTGATTCTCGTTCCAATCTGTCAGGGATGTACTTTAGTACCCCGGACAGAGATAATGACGTGTCTAGTGGATATAACTGTGCAGCTCAATATGGAGGAGGCTGGTGGTTTAACCACTGTTATGATGCTCATCTCAATGGTCCCTGGAACTATTCAACGTGGTACAATCCTTGGCACCCTGTAGTTAGTTTCGGGACAGAACTAAAGGAAACAATGATGATGATAAAGCCTCATTAGGTGATTTCTTATTTTTCTAATTAATACCAAAATGTAACTTACGCAGCACAGTTAAGGTTACAGTAAAGAGGCAGGGCCTAATTTGTACGGGAAATGTCTATTATGACGTCACTCATAATATAAAGTCTTCAAAATACCACAAAATGAAATTATTTGCTATTTCAAACAGCTGGATAGCTGTATACTACATACAAACTTACTATTACATGCAATTTTGTCGTTTGTTAAATCCCACACAACAGTTATAAACGATGCATCGATCGCAATGCACTTCTCAATGTGACGTCATCTTGCAAAAATGACGCAGTTTGTACACAGTGAGAGGCTGATCAAGTCACATTTGTGATGAAAAATGTCTTTTGTTCTTAAATTAAATATTTGCAGTTAAATAAAGTCTCGTTAACTTGGATGAGAGTTTTTTTTTATTTATAAACTGTACAAACATTCTCCAGACAAGCGATAATGTCGTGTGTTTGTATGCCGATTCATTGAAAAAGTAATGGAAGGTCCCTAATAAATCGATTTATTGCAAGGGCATACCCTCAATGTATCTTGTCAAGATTTTACACATAAACTCTAGAAGCTTTAAGATATTTGAAAAGTGCTGCGAACCTCTTGAAATCTTGCAAATAAATTAATAATAGATATATTTAATGTAGTTGACCAGCAAAATATTCAACCTGCCGTCCAACAAATTAAATTTTAGCAATTAAAAAAGGGAATCTATATAGGTTCGCAGCACTTTTCACAAACTACCTATAGTGTTGAAAAGGATTATAAATTGAACTAAATTTTTTAACCTGGTTATGCCCTTGCAATATTGAAATTTATAGATGACCTCTAAACTGCAAGTATAATTTGCTAAAGTCATGTGACGTCGACATCATATAGCAAGTCTAAATAAAAAATCAATATGTCCACAACATGTAGATTTAAACCACACCACATTTTTCTGATATCAGTGAAATCCTAAAAATAATTGCCCATCCTAATAAAGTATGTAATTTTTATCTTAAAAAATCGCCGTTATTTTCATTTGTTACCTTAACTGTGCTGCGTAAAAATGTAAATAAGAATTACAAAATGTAAATAATTTAACTTTTTGTCCTGAGATTTTAGACAACGCACATGTAAAGTGACAAAGACATAATTATATTAATATAGATAAAGATCAATTTCTGTTTTCATTGACATCACATGGTTTTGTTGATATCATAGAATTAAATAATGAAATTGTTTATCATGTCTGCATATGTATTGTTGTTTTTATTTTTGAAATATTATAAAGTAAGCATTTGATTTGATAATAAATTGCTCTTGCTGACAAGGTTATTGTATCTAGTATTAAACGCACGAAATGAAGTCTGAATTGGACCCTGAGAGAGTCTTACCTGTATCAGACTTTGAGAAATTTTTCAATGATTGTTAAACAATGCCTGTGTAAGACTCTGAAATAATCATTCGCTGCCAGCATTGACCCATGAGAGGTCAGACAAGGTCTGCATTTACAATTACAAGGAAAAGTTCCATTTGACCCTTTGAATAGTCTTGCTATATTTGATTTTTTTAACAAATTCCATTATAACATATTTCGCTCACCTAAACCGAAGGCTCAAGTGAGCTTTTCTGATCACATTTTGTCCGTCGTCCGTCCGTCCGTCCGTCTGTCGGTAAACTTTTCAAATTTTCGACTTCTTCTCAAGAACCACTGGGTCAATTATGACCAAACTTGGTACAAAGCCTCTTTGGGTGTAGGGAAATTTGAATTGTTGAAATGAAGGTCAAAGTCCCCTCACAAGGTGGTAGGGCGGGGCCACAATGGGGAATCAAAGTTTTACATAGAAATGTATAGGAAAAATCTTTAAAAATCTTCTCAAGAACCGCTGGGCCAGAAAAGCTGAATCTTACGTGGAAGCATCCTTGGGTAGTGTAGATTCTAAATTATACAAACCATGACCCCCAGGGGTAGGGCGGGGCCACAATTGGGAATACAAAGTTTTACATAGAAATATATAGGAACAATATTTGAAAATCTTCTTCTCAAGAATCACTGGACCAGAAAAGCTGAAACTTATGTGTACATGAAGCATCCTGTGGTAGTGTAGATTTCAAAATATGTAAATTATGATCAGTTGGGTAGGGTGAGGTTGCAATCTAATGTATTAAAAGGGGGAAATCTGGTAAAGAACAGAATGGTCAAAGTTTCTCAGGTGAGCGATGTGGCCCATGGGCCTCTTGTGTTTGCATATGCAACTAAATAAAAATGCTCATATTATTTAGAAAAACAAAAAGATGCAAGAGATTGCGTGATTACTTTCACAATTTCTCTGAACCATCAAGAAAAAGAATTCTGTCACCTGCATATTTTATTGGAAAGTGAAACAAACAGTATTCAAGATGAGAAGTCCATGAAACAATACAAAACAGGATCAGAGCAATAATGGGCCTCCAAATCATCAGTGGTTGGATCAGGTTTCATGGAGGAATTAGCCTCCTCTGATGATGGTTTAACCTGCAATGTGCTCCTTGTCATGATTGGGAAATAACATGAATATCCGTCGTCAATTCTGTGTATAAATAATAAGCTAACAGTTAGTATGAAAAACGCCAGTCACCTTTTAACTCAATGATAAATTGTATTTGGTGACAGGTACATCGTATCGTCTATAGAACTTACGAAATGGTTACTTTAAAGGACACTGCTGATATTCATAATTCATCAGCTTGTTTGTCAATAATTTACCTCGTTTTAGAAATCGTTCATAAGTATAGCATAGCAGGAGTTTAAGTCATCATGTTTATCAGAGAACTTAGTTGTTGATAACAATGTCTTTTAAGGTAGGACCCTACTTTCAAAATTTTCTGTCAAACTAATATTTTTTTTTATTTGAATACCTTAGATAAGTCATAAACTAAGTAAAACACCTAAAAAATATGTATCTTTACAGGTGAATTTTCATACAACATGTCTCAGAGTACATACCTCTACTTCAACAGCCAAAATTGATCTTAAAGAAGTGAGATATCATATTTCATTTAGCTATGCACCAAATCACATTCAATTTATGTTAAAAATTATGAAAATCAAAAAAATCATTTGCCAAGAGAATATTTGAAATATTTACTGGAAAACATAAACAAATTGATGTTGAATCTGCCCACGTCTTTAAATAAAAATCTCAAAATTTCATTATTTTTGATAATTCTCAAAATCTAAACTGTTTAGATGCCATTTTTTTCTATTAAAGTATTACGAATTATATCTAAGGTCAACAAAAACACAAAGTTTATTATGTTCAACCAGATAAATTTAACAAAACAACCTTTCGAACACGTATATCCCCATATTTTAGATATCAATTTTTCAATCATTTTTGGCAAAAAATTTTTAAAGGTTAAATTTAAAAAGATGATATAGGCTTTAAAATCAATCAAATTAGATATAAAGTTAGTTTGTAAAAAAAAAAAAAAAAACAAAACATTAAGTCCATAAAGGTAATCAATTTGTGTCTGTGTATTACAAAATTACATATACTTCCTACGCACAGGGTGCAGAATGTTAAAATTGCCATAATTAACGATGTTAAATGCTCAATTACATTAAAATAAACAAATACACTCTTTCTAAATTATTTTCAATCATCCAATAGATTTTTTCAACAGATAAGTGATAATCAGAATTTTATATTGGTGTGTAAAATTAAAACCGCATCCGTAAAAGTATGGACCTTCCTTTAAGTAAAGGATGCGCCAGTCTCTGTGGTATTTTTAATAGCAAGCTCATTTGGATATATCTTATCGATATAGAATGAATATTAGCATTTTCATAGAGAATACGTCGTCGAAATGTCTAAATGCCGACTTAAAGGCCACAACAAGTGGTTTCCTCTTTTCACGTATAAGGTTTTGCACCATATGAATACAGAAATACGTCTGCCAATAACGGGGCGCAATTGGTTACTTTAGGAAATCAAATACATGTAGATTGTTGGAAGATCTGCATAGATATTGTCAATCAGAAACCGAAGCACATTTTTTATGTCAACTTCAAAGTTTTCGAGAGTACAATCAATATTTGTTTTATCAAAATACTTTTACAAATGACCAATGAGAAGGTACTGAAGTTTCTGAGTTCCATTTTAAGTCACGAAACCATAAAATATTTTATTTTGAAGCATTTTCTGCTTAAAATAGAAAAAAATGAATCAAATTAATGACTACATATTTCCAAAATAGTACTCCTTCATGCTATATTCTTTCCTGATCCCTAACAGCCAGACACTCCACAGATGTTTAATTAAGTTTCTTTACGTCTTGAAATTGTTATTTTTAGGGCACAATCAAGCTTAAATCATACTTTATTTTTTTGTGAAATTGAACCTAAAATGTTTATTCTCTTAAGTATTTTAATATTTAAATATGATATTATTTTTCTTTTGTTTTAATAACAAACTGCCGACGTAGTGTTCATAAATGGAGGAGATATACTGGTTAGAAAGAATCTATAATACAATGTTAGACTGTTGAGCATGAGTGTGTAAAAAACATTTCATAGTGACTTAACAAAGGATTTTCTATTTATTATTGTTATCTTAAATAATGTAAAATTATTACCTTTGGCAGGACATCATTTAATTCGGATTAAATACCTTTCTGCTACAAAAGATTGTATAGATAGGAAATCAAATTGTTTTTAAAGGATTTTTATTCAGATATTTATACCAAGTATCAAACTGAACCCATAATAAAACATTTAACTGATCATCATTATCATTTTTATGAGATATATATATCCAATTGCATAACTAGAAACGCATTATGCTTAAGATAAGTTATATCTGTTCTCCTGAATGATTTTAATTATTCCTGCGCCAACTCTTATTCATGTAGAAATAAACTCCTAACAGAGTTTATGTCTCTTACTTGGTTTACGTACGAACAATTTTAAAAACGAGGTGAAAAATTGACATTGAAAATTTGGAAATCATATTTCATTACTA